GAACTGTTCAAATTCAGCTTCTTCAGCATTACTGGTCGGGGCATAGGCTTGGATTACCATGATATTGAATGGGTTGCTTTGGAAACGAACAGAGATCATTCTGTCATTTTTGAGATTGCATCCAAGTACTGCATTTCAGACTCTTTTGTTGACTATGATGGCTACTCCATTTCTTATAAGGGATTCTTTCCCACAGTAGTGAATATAATGGTCATCGGAGTTAAATTCACCCATTCCAGTCCACTTTAGTTCACTGATTTCTAAAATGTTGACGTTTACTCTTGCCATCTCCTGTTTGACCACTTCCAATTTGCCTTGATTCATGAACCTAACATTCCAGGTTCCTGTGCAATATTGCTCTTTACAGCATCGGACCTTGCTTCCATCACCAGTCACATCCACAACTGGGTGTTGTTTTTGCTTTGGCTCTGTCCCTTCATTCTTTCTGGAGTTATTTCTCCACTGATCTCCAGTAGCATATTGGAGACACCCTACATCCAAGGTCAGTAGCTGCAGCTGCGGGGTGCTGGAGTGGCGAGTGGTCAAGAGGAGCCACCCCACATCCAAGGTAAGGAGTGGTGGCTGAGCTTTGCTGGAGCAGCCATGAAGAGATACCCCACGTCCAGGGTAAGAGAAACCCAAGAAAGATGGTAGGCACTGAGAAAGGGCATCAGAGGGCAGACAGACAGAAACCACAATCACAGAAACCAACTAATCTAATCACACGGCCCAAAGCCTTGTCTAACTCAATGAAACTATGAACCATGCTATGTAGGGCCACCCAAGACAGATGGGTCATGGTGGAGAGGTCTGACAGAATGTGGTCCACTGGAGAAGGGAATGACAAACCACTTCAGTATTCTTGCTTTGAGAACCCCGTGAACAGTATGAAAAGGCAAAAAGATAGGACACTGAAAGATGAACTCCCCAGGTCGATAGGTGCCCAATATGCTACTGGCCTCATTATAACCCAGGATGAACTAAAAAGCAAGTAAAAATGGCCTCTGGTGTTTTCACATCCCCTTGCGTACTTTCTTCAGCATTCTGACAGGTGTCTTCCCCATACTTGGTGACATGCACGGCCTCATTTTCTCCCTTAGCTGTCCAAAAGTCACTGTTCCCTTTTTTACTTTCCTCAAAAAGTTAGTGGTTTATTCTTTTAATTATTAAAAACTCTCACCTTCTAATGAATTGATATCTGTTTCTTCTCTGTCTCCAGGATTTTACTGGGGGTAATATAGCACGATTTCAAAATAGGCTATGGTGATACAAACTGCAGAGGAATGTTATTTTCTGATAATTTCAATATCTGCTAATTAATAGTTGTAGACATCTGCACATTTGACTGTGATGTGTTTTGTCAGAGTTTTAGTGATTTCTCCTGTGTCTCTAAAGAAGTGGTGAACTTCAAACACTCTCCAAATGCAGGCTTTTAAAATCAGGAAGCAATTCATGCCTCTAGGGCAAGCCAAAACAAGGTGATCATTAGATTTGGGGGTGGGGGCAGTGGTAGCTTTAAGATAAAAGGAGCAGATTTTGTTTTGCTTTCATATTAATAACACAGATGGTGACACTACGGAATACACTCACATCTTAATAAATTATAGTTACACTGGCAGCAACAAAGAAACCTAGAATGAATACAAAGCAAATACACACTTCTTCATAAAGTAATGAGAGTTGCCATTAACATGATGAGTTTTCAACCAGTCAAGTAAAAATAAAGTTTGCTAATGAGATATGACAACCTTAAATATGGCACGTGGAGTGAATTCACACATTAGGTACAGAAAAAAAATGAGTTTTCTAGTTATAAACACAAGATACATTTGTATCTCGTTAGTGAAAAATAAAACTTACTAATAGGTGATAACCTTGCTGTATCAGTGACATCAAGAGTGCCTTAATTATTGTAATGCTGTAGAAGTGCCTTCCATGTACGTTAGCGAAACAGACTAAAAATACTCCTCTGTGAAGATGAATGATTTCCTGCTTCTCCCTTCATTTAAAGCAGTAATAAACACCTGGCACGTGCTCACCCCTGCTCTCCTTTGGTTCAGCTCCTCCCTCCATTTCAGACTCTTAGTTGGAAAGGGTCACCTTGTTCATTCACTCATCTGATGCTTGGATGCTTTCCAGAGAAGAACAAACAGAAGCGCTTGGACTGCTCTGGTGATTGGCCCCCTCAAGGACCCGTTCTGTGCTTGGATCCCCCTGACCGCTCAGAGCCCTCCTGCTCTGCATCTCCTTTGCACCGACCCCGACTCCACTTGCTGGGGCTGCACAGAATAGGACCAACACCTCTTTGAAATGACAGCCCTTCAAGTAGTCATCAAGCCATGCAGAACCTTTTTTCCCTCAGACTAAACATTCTGCATCATTCTATCATTCCTCACAAAACAAAGTCCAGACTCTCTTCACCATTCTGGCCACTTTCTTCTGTCCACATACTTCTTAGATGCAGCATCAAAATGAAATGCAACTCTAGAAGTGGCGTAACCAAGCAGAATAAGACTGCAAGTTTTCTTAATTTTTATAAAAATAAACATGTTCATTCTGCTTGGACTCAAATTAACCCTTTCTAAGTCATATGAGATTGATAGAAATCAATGATTTTTAAAAAATCATAGAGCTTCTATGCAATGGCTGCACTTCATCCTGTCCTTGTGCAGCCATTTATATGGATCCATATGTCAGATGGTGACTGCAGCCAGGAAATTAAAAGAACACTTGCTCCTTTGAAGAAAAGCTATGGCAAACCTAGACAGCGTATTAAAAAGCAGAGACATTATTTTGCTGACAAAGGTCTGATTAGTCAAAGCCATGGTTTTTCCAGTAGTGATCTATGGATGTAAGATTTGGACCATAAAGAAGACTAAGCACCAAAGAATCGATGCTTTCAAACTATGGTGCTGGAGAAGACTCTTGAGAGTCCCTTGGACTGCAAGGAGATCAGATCAGTCAATCTTAAAGGAAAGCAACCCTGATATTCAATGGAAGGACTGATGTTGAAGTGGAAGCCCCAATACTTTGGCCACTTGATATGAAGAACTGACTCACTGGAAAAGACCCTGATGCTGGGAAAGATTGAAGGCAGGAGGAGAAGGGGAAGACAGAAGACAAGATGGTTGGATGGCATCACCGACTCAATAGACTTGAGTTTGAACAAACTCTGGGGAATGGTGAAGGACAGGGAAGCCTGGTGTGCTGTAGTTCAAGGGGTTGAAAAGAGTTGGACACGACTGAGCAACTGAACAACATCAACATGTCAGACCATTTATTTATTTCTACTGATCTTCATTTTGGGCTTCCCTGGTGGCTCAGAGACTAAATAGTCTGCCTGAAATGCTGGAGACCTGGGTTCCATCCCTGGGTTGGGAAGATCATCTGGAGAAGGAAATGGCAACCCACTATGGTATTCTTGCTTGGAAAATTCCATAGATGGAGGAGCCTGGCGGGCTACAGTCCATGGGGTCACAAAGAGTCAGACACGACTGAGCAACTAACTTTACTTTTACTTTAATCTTCATTTTGGGCTTGATTCATTATTCCTACCTATTATACTCTTTTCAAGAACTTTCAGAGTATGAGAGAAATGTCAAGATCATCCAATCTAACATCAAACAAAGATGCAAGGTCATTGACTCCAATGAGTGGCAGGTGGAGTCCCTGAGGTTTCACTCTCTCCTCTTCTCTGTCTTGGTCTCTTGTGATGATGTCTGTACTTCCAGCAACATTGCCTTTTCCCTCTGGGTTACTGAATGACTGATTTTAAGAGCCCGCTGACTTTGCTTTGGGCCTCCCAGGTGGTGCTAGTGGTACAGAACCTGACTTGGGACACATAAGAGATGTGGGTTCGATCCCTGGGTCAGGAAGATACCCTGGAGAAGAGAATGACTGCCCTCTCCAGTATTCTTACCTGGAGAATCCCATGGACTGGGTGACAGCAAATGGGGTCAAAGAGTTAGACACGACCGAAGCGACTGAGCATGCATGAATGCAACTTTCGTTTGGATCACTCCTGTAAAGCATTATAGTGAAAAATACTTTCTTGTTTCCTTTACAGAAGAAGTCCTAAAATGACATCCTTTCCCTGCCTGAGATCTGGTGTTCCACTGACATTTGGAGAGACAAATTTAATGATCTCAGAGTAAGTGCTGATATCTCGAATTGCAAATGCTTTAATAACAGTAACAATAAAAAAGATGAACCTTCTCACGTGCTGGGATTCAAGAAATGTTCATTCTAATCCTGGCAGTATCTCCTTGGGCAAGTGAACTCATCTCTCTGAGCCTCAGCTGCTGGAACGAAAAGAGCCAGATTGTGTTTTGTGACCTCGTGCCTAATGCTCGGCTACATGTAGAAACGCCGCAGTTTCTTTATCAAGGAAGCAAATTTAAAATTTCATCATTAGAAAGTGAGTCCTCTGTGCTAAGGCAGGGGGTCTCCTTTCAAGTCCAAATACTCCATGGGAAAATTCACGCATTTAAATTAGCCACTAGTACTGCTGAGCACTGCTTTCTGGAAGGTGCCCAATGGAACAGTTAGTGAAGGAAGCTCTGAACGGGGTGAAGTTAATAGCAGGAAAGTGTAGGTGGGAGAGAGCTGAGAAACCACACTGGGAAACGGAAGGTCTCATGCGCTCCATGGGGCATCCAGAGACAGAAGCTGTGAGCCCAACTATGGGAGGATGAAGACAAATTACTGTAGGAGCTGGAAGGGAATTAAGGAGACCACCCAGTCCCATCCTCTCATTTTCCAGATGAGGAGACTGGACCCGAGGTTGCCCCGCTGTAGGTGGCGGGTCAGGTGTCTGGTTCCTGAGCAGTGCTTTTCCCTTCGATCATGAAGACAAACTGCACCATTTCCCTGAAACGGCTTGCTCTCAGGGTCCAGGACTATGCAGAGTGAGCAAGATTGATGAGGTGGTTGCAGCAGTCTCTCGGGAGTGGAAAAGCCTCTCCCCGAGGCTGCGCGACCACGCTCTCAGCACCACCAGGTCAAGACATCAGGGCGGCCGCCTCTGCGGAGATGGCACAGACTTCAAGGTAGCGCAGTCTTCGGTGCCCTTCTGGGGAGGCCGATGGCAGTTCACTGGGCTCAAAGTCCTGCTTGAGGACGTTCACAGAACGGTTCTGCAGCTGAACATGCAGTCCCAGAGGAAGACAGATGTCACCAATCAAATGGCTCCTAGACGAGGGGGGAACGCTCACGGAGTGAAGGGAGAAAGCCTTTGAGGGGGAGGGGCTCCATGGCCTTTGCTCCCTCCCAGGACACATGCTGAGAAGTCTCAGTATTAGCATTTGCAGGTTTTGTTTCTGAAAGGTTGCCACTTTTGGATTTTTCTTGAAGCTTCAAGCTTGCTCATGGTGGCTGAATAACCACTGCTCACCTCCTTCTACCATCCTGGATCTCATTTGAAAGGAAGGCCTCCTCGGACGACACTCAACCGCTCCCCACACCCCAACCTAACTCTGCAAAATGAGAGTCAAGGGCAGCCTTGCTTCCTGAGCAGCCCTCTATGGTGGTGCTTTTTAAACGCACAGGGCGTATGAATCACCTGGGCATTGTAAAATAGTGCAGATTCTAATTCAGCAGGTCTGGGATGGAGCCCGAGGTTCTGTCTCCCAAACAAGCTCCCAGAAGACTCTTGACAGTGCTGCTCCGCGGACCACTCTTTGAGTGGCGGGGTAGAGTTCCAGCTTAGCATCAGCCTGACATTGGGAGACGTTGGTGAGGTCTGCTTGGACGGTCTTTCCCCACTCCATTCCTAGAAGAGTGTTTAACCAGCACCTTCCTGGGCCCAGGGGGAAAATGATTGCACCTATTAGGCACTAGCAGTGAACATAGTTCTTTGCACCTAAGCCTTCTTAATCAAATCTGCAATATTTGTGGGTGGGACTGTTTGCTTTCACAGACACCCTGCACTTGCCCACAGTAATTAGGTAATTGAATTGCAAACAGTAATTAGCTGCCTAACTGCCTGCTTGTTCATGCAGGTATCCAATTTGCTTTTGAAATGTGGGTTTATACTGGTGAAAGTGGAAGCTGCCTAGAAAGACTCTAGGCACGATTGGGAAGATCCCCTGAAAATCTGATCCTGAGTGAGTGGCTGCTGCCTCCTTCTCCCTTATATATATATATTTAAAAATTTTCTCCCTATTCTAGTTACTCTGATTACATTTTTCTCTTCAGATTCAGAGAATCTTAGTTCCATTGTGTTACTTAGGAGAAAGGAGAGGTGGTATTGGATGCTTGTTTTCATGTCTTCGGGATAAAATTAAAAACTAAGTGTTGTGCAATAGAGTGACAGCTGGTCTGCTGCTTTCTCAGTGAACTGACAAGCTTGTTTACTTCCCGAGAGCTTGTCTCTCTGCTCAGCCCATCAGAAAACAGGTGAGGGCTTCTGCTGCTGTACCTGCGGGATGCATGCTCCATATCGTGGCCCCACAAACATGGCTCTCTTTAAACCTGTGCTTATTTTCATAACAAGGAAAAAGCTTAGAAATCAGAAACTTCTGCTTCTCTGATGAAGTGAGTTTGTGTCCAGGCTTCCCAGGAAGCTTCAGTGAGGACATGAGGCGATCCCCCACACCCCTTTTGGAATTGCTATTTCTTTTAAAATATGTCTCTCAATCCTTTCTTCTTACCCACCTCTAATGTCTAAGACTGGATTCTCCTGTATCCTGGCCATGGGTCCCTGAGCATCTGGGCATGAGTTTGGTATGGTTATCTAATTCACATCACACTCTAGAGTGCTTGGGAAGCTGCTTCTAAGGGGTGACCTTGAAACTGCTGACCTACAAAGTAGTGTTCAGCTAAGCCAGCCTATCCTTTCTAAGCTGGTCTCTCCTTTCTAAAGGTGAAATCTTTGAAACCCGCAGTTATTCCAAGTGTAGAACAACAGAGAGTTTGGTTAGTACAGTGCTGTCTTTGTAAATTATATTATGATGGTATTCATTTACCCATGCTGCATTGTGGGTCTTTTCATTTCTTTCATGTAACAATAGTTTTGACTAAATTTTAGCATGAGGGTTAAATTTTTAGGGGGAAAAGTATCTTGCAAAAATTCCCCCCTTTTTAAAAAAAATGATTGACACAAAAACCATTGTGTAGTTTCTAACTTTAAAGAGGACATAAAAGCATTTAAGCTAGATTGCTGAAATCCATTTAGTTTTACTTTCATTATGAAGCATATTGATGGGCCTGTGGTCAAGGCTGTTACTGAGCTTTTGGAGGTAGGTGGAAATCTGAGGTGTCATCAGTAAAAAATGAAAAGGAACGAAAACCAAAGGCAATTTTATATTCAGTGTAACAGGATAAAATTTACAAAAAATATGATTTTTTTGAAATAATAATGAAGTAATTTTTAGGTTAAGATGAGAAATTAGAACATTAATGACTGTTGCTCATATAATATAAAGATAAGGTGTGTATTTTTAAGGTTCTCCCTACTTTTTTTTCTCAGATTTTTCAACAGGTACTAAAAGATTCCCTAATATTGTTCTTTCGATAACAGGGGCTGCAAAGATTCCCAAAGGATTAGGGGTTTAACTTTTGCTCTCTTTCTTTGATGAGAAGGGAGTGTGCTTTCCCAATGTTTTACTCTGAGGACAACACTGAATTTGGTTTTTCCCTTCCATGCCTCCTGGAGTTGCCTTCATTTAGGCTTCCAAATTTCTCTGCTGGACCACGGCAATCCCATCAGATGAGTTGTCCCCTCATCTTTTTTTCTCTTCTTGTGCACACTGTCCACACTGGCAGGATTCTTTTTTATTTTTAAATCATCACATACTCCAAAGGGTTCCTGCTGCTCAGAGTTAAAATCCATACACAGCCTGGCTTCTATTTTGTTAGGGAAATCTTGTCAGCAGCTCTCGGCCTGGCCATGCGCCCAGCACCCTTGTCATGATCAACTTCTCAGCCTTCCCTGAATTCATGTCTCTCCTTACACCCTGTCACCTGGTTCAGTGGACAGGGACTCAGACCAGGATGAAAGCAGGGACCGGTTGTAGGGTATGGTCCAAGCTCAGGTAGAAGGGAAGAACTTACGGGTAGATAATTGGGAGTGATTGTACTTTAATCCTTTCAAAGGTTTATTGAGTAGAAAGAACACTTGTCTAAATAAGCTCAGTTCATAGCAGTTATCCATAACACATTGCTTTATAACCAACATTCAAGGAATTATATTAGCCTCCTGGCTACAGAGCATATGGAAGTCCAGATGGGTGTAGGTTTTTTTCCCTTTTCATTTTGTTCCACTTGTGCTGACGGTATCAGATTTTCCATCTCCAGAGCCATAGCTTGTACTTGTAAACATAGTGGGTTCAGTGGAAGAGGAGAAGGGAAGGCACAAAATGTGTTTTATGAGGAAAGAACAGAGTTCACCTTCCTTCTTAATGTCTGGTAATAACACAGGTATCCGTGACGATCAGCTCCTCTCTGGAAGGAAAAATTCAAGGTTTGGTGATTTTTAGGAAAGAGTCCTTATAGAACATCTGCAGCTTCACAGAGCTGAAGGAATCTACTGGTTGAGTGAAATTTTCCCTTTAGATAATTTATAATCTGAGAATGCCTTTCTGGAAACAGCATTCAATCTTTGATTTTTCTTCTCTCCCTTGTAACCCACAGGGCAGGGCAGGGACAGTTGATCTTTCAACAAAGTAGAATGACCTTCATTTCTAGGAAGCTGGAGAGAGGAGGGACAGGGGAGCTGTGCTGGTACTAAGATTCCTCTTGCTGTTGGGAGAGGTCTCTAAGATTCTTCCCTGGGAATCTCAGCAAATGAAGGGAGTTCAGCCATCCGAAGAGCAGGAAACAGGACCTAGAAGGCATGCAGACTTTACATCTGCATGTGTTTGTGTGCTGTGCTCAGTTGTGTCCGACTCTTTTGCAACCCTAGGAACTGCAGCCCTGCAGGCTCCTCTGTCCGTGGCATTTCCCAGACAATACTACTGGAGTAGGTTGCCATTTCCCCTTCCAGGGTATCTTCCCCCAGGGATTGAACCCACATCTCCTGTGTCTTCTGCATTGCAGATGGATACTTACCTCTGAACCATGGCAATGGTGGCAATAAAAATGCATGTGGACATGGTTGCCTTTCAGTCACAATCCTGTAACTTACACTGTAAGTGAGCACATGTTCACCTACAAATTAGGACACTTTGTGAGAAATGTAATAAAATGTCAGATATTTTGTTAGAAGATTTACCCTGTACTGTAGAAAGTGAAGAAGCATGTAAGCCCTTACTGCCAGCCGGCTGCACTCCTGTGAAGGCCCCTCCTTGATTGGGATTCAGATGAATCAAACCAGAAGCGAAGCTGATCAATGGAAAGTCCATCCTGTTTAGAGTTGTCTCCTTCAACTAGTTAATGAGACAACTCAGAGCAGTGGGGAGAAAAGTGAAAACTTGTGAGTGATAAGCTCAAACTGCCTTTCTCCTAGCAAGAATGGGCAGGCAATTTGAATCAGATCACTTGGAAAAGCCAAAGGCAGTGATTCAGGAAGCGTGAAACTTGTTTGGCCGGTGACTGGGGTAGCTCTGGAGCTGCCTCTAAAGGAGGAGGTATGTTCGCTCATCGGCAGGCTCTGATGAGAGTTGACACTTGAACAACACAGTGTGAAGTGCACGAGTCTGCTTAGTCATGGGCTTTTTCAGTAGCAAATATTGCAGAACTACGTGATCCGTAGCTGGTTGAGTTCACAGATGTGGAACTGGATATGGGGAAAGGTGTATACAGAGGGGCCAACTGTAAGTTATGTACAGATTTCCTAGTGTGTGGAAAGTCAATGGCCCTAATGCCTGTGTTGCTCTAGGATCAACAGTATGATGGATGCCTAAAACTGGGGAAATCTAGTGAATGTGGTCTATCTCTGTTTCAATAGGGGTCACTGTCGGCTGAAATATATAAGCAAGGGGAATGACGGAAGAAAACCTACTTAGAGATTTATAATTCAGGGAGCTCTTGATTATACCAAACACTGCTAGGCAAGGTTTCGAAATCTCCCGATGGATTCGGTGTTCTAGTTTGAGGCTTCTAAAGCCTTGACTCTCATTATCCACATTGCATTTCCTCTTCATTTCAAGAGTAGAAGGGAGAGACTGGCAGCCTCATGGGCTACACTGGGGAATGCTGCATTTACAGTCCATATTGTGCTCAGTCTTCCAGGCAGATCACACAGCTGTAGC